TATATATATATATATATATAATGTGTGTGTGAAAAAGTGTTGGCCCCTTTCCTGATTTTTCATTGTTTCGCACGTTTGTCACACTTTAATGTTTCAGATCATCAAACAAATTTAAATAACACAAGTAAAACAACATGCAGTTTTTAAAGGAAGTTTTTTATTAAAGGAAAACAAATTCCAAACCCACATGGTCCTGTGTGAAAAGGTGTTTGCCCCCTAAACCTAATAACTGGTTGGGCCACCTTTAGCAGCAAGAACTGCAATCAAGGATTTGCGATAACTTGCAATGAGTCTGTTACAGCGCTGTGCAGGAATTTTGGTCCACGCATCTTTGCAGAATTATTTGTAATTTAGCCACATTGGAAGGTTTTCGAGCATGAACTGCCTTTTTAAGGTCATGCCACAGCATCTCAATAGGATTCAGGTCAGGACTTTGACTAGGCCACTCCAAAGTCTTCATTTTGTTTTTCTTCAGCCATTCAGAGGTGGACTTGCTGGTGTGTTTTGGATCAATGTCTTGCTGCAGAACCCAAGTTTGCTTCAGCTTGAGCTCACGAACAGATGGCCGCACATTATACTTCAGGATTGTTTGGTAGACAGCAGAATTCATGGTTCCATTTATCACAGCAAGTCTACAAGGTCCTGGAGCAGCAAAACAGCCCCACACCATCACCCTACCACCACCATATTTTACTGTTGGTATGATGATCTTTTTCCGAAATACGGTGTTACTCTTACGCCAGATGTAATGAGACACACACCTTCCAAAAAGTTCAACTTTTGTCTCGTCAGCCCACAGAGTATTTTCCCAAAAGTCTTGGGGATCATCAAGATGTTTTCTGGCATTACGGAGACGAGCTTTTATGTTCTTTTTGCTCAGCAGCGGTTTTCATCTTGGAACTCTGCCATGCAGGCCATTTTTGCCCAGTCTCTTTCTTATGGCGGAGTCGTGAACACTGACCTGAACTGAGGCAAGTGAGGCCTGCAGTTCTTTGGATGTTGTTGTGGGGTCTCTTGGGGTAATTTTGGTTGGCTGCCCACTCCTGGGAATGTTCACCGCTGTTCCATGTTTTGGCCATTTGTGGATAAGTCCCAAAGCTTTAAAGTGCCCATACACCTCGATCGTACGATAATGGCAAAGTGTATGGAAGGCGTGCGACCATTTCTACTGAAACCCGCCGAGAATCGTACGATTGTCGGTGGGTTAGTGGCGTGCTCGTTCGACAACTGCGGAACGGGCCGATGTGCACACACGCACACTGCCCGTTCAGAATTGCGGTCATCGGAACCCCGTCTCCCATGTTGCTTTACTTGTGTTATCTTTGACTAATATTTAAATTTGTTTGATGATCTGAAACAATAAAGTGTGACAAATGTGCAAAACAATGAAAAATCAGGAAAGGGGCCAACACTTTTTCACTCAACTAATATATATGTATGTATGTATGTATGTATACGTAGGTGTGTATACACTCAGGGGAAGTTCTCAGAACTGGAGCAGTTGTGCATGGCAATCAATCAGCTTCTCTGTTCAGTTAAGATTTGAAAATGAAAGGGTGAGGCTGATAGTTTTGATTCTCCTCACTGTATATTCTCAGTTTTCCATACAAAAAGATTAATTTTGAAGAAGCAATTTTTATTCATGAGGTTGCCATCATCTGGGTAGATAGAAATGTTAATTGACAGTGTTTCTTTGCACAATACATTCACAGCACTTCTGAGACATATATAATACTTTTCCTGGAATTATCCCAGCATGCACCATAGACTCCTACTGGCCCACACAGTTCATGCACAGTTCAATGTCCTAGATTTATTCCATGGCATTATATACACAGAGAATAGGCATTTCTACAGCTCATGACACATCTGTCACTCACGGGTTTGTGTAACAGTAGCTATACAATTTCAATTCAGATTTTCCTCAAGTTCTATTATCAATGGAATATTTTTCAGTTTCACATTTTACATTCACCGAATGCATTTTATATGGAATAGAAGTCTAGCAAGTGCAGACTAGGAAACTTGCACTTCACATTATTTTAAATTGCATTGCAGTCTTCAGTCTCAGGGACGAACTCTAACTTCTGTTTATTGTGTTTTTGTTGTTTTTTTCTTAAGCCTTGGGGTTGAACCCGTCGACAACGATGTTATTAGAAAACCACCAAGAAACTTAAAGGATAGCATTCTGACCAAAAACTTGATTATAAAAATCCTGATCTCCTCCATCATCATAGTGTGCGGCACATTGTTTGTCTTCTGGAGAGAGGTTTGTTATTTGGCTATGTTTGCAGATATAGTTCTCGTAGTGATTTCTTTATTCAGATTTCTAGAGATTAAAAATGTTAGAAATGTGCCGCGCTATATCTCCCTAAACAATGTGTAAGAAAATCATTTTCTATTTAGTATGTATCACATAATAGCGGATGTGATCCAATTGTAAATGACATATATTCACATCAATACATGAAATCTTTCTCAAAGTGCACAGAATTCATATGTGCAAAGAAAACATGTAATGAATGTATTAACAATCTACTTGCGTCGAGTGGAGCCTGGAGTGTGCTGATCATGTTTGAAAGTAAGAAGGATATAGCGCGGCACATTTCTAATATTTTTCAGTAGGGATGCAACGATATATCGGCGCCGAAACATATCGGCTGAAAATGGCACTTTTGGCATAATGCAGAAAGAGCCATGTTTCGGCCGATACATTGGCGCATCCCTGGTTTCTTTTCTCCCCGCTGGGCGCTGTTCCAGCGGGGAGAAAAGAAAGTGACAGCTGGCCGAGCGCTGCAGGACAAGAGCGCTGTGAGCGGCCGGCGTCTCTCCTCCCACACCGCTCAGCCGCCTATCACAGTCCGGCAGAGCGGTGTGGGGGCGGAGACAGCGCTGTCACAGGAGGCTGGGCTTTCCTCTCAGCACCGCTCGTTCAGCCTCCTGTGACAGCGTGTCAGAGAGAAAAGCAATGTACACACACTCGGTGATCAGTGATCGCTGAGTGTGTGTACATAATTGAGAATATGGTATGTTAACTATATACTCAATTATGAATGAATGGGAACTGATCGACATCACCCCCATTCATTCATAATTGTAGTTATAGTAAACAAACAATGTTCTCAATGAACAGGAACACTCATAGAGGATTCCTGTTCATTGATAACAGGGGACACAGAAAAAGAGATTGAGGACTTTGTGTTCTCCAATCTCTTTTTTTCTATTTTAAAAGGGAAATATCAGGGGAAATATAAATGGTATTGATGCTTAGATATGATGGACTTGTGTGTAAATAGGAAAAGTACTCGAAGTGTATATGTTTGTATTAGGGATGCACCGATACCAGTTTTTCGGTATCGAGTACCGATATTTTTCTTCCGGTACTCGCCGATACTGAATACCGATACCGGAAGTACCATTAAGGTAGCCCGGCGGCGTGCAATGACTTGCCACCCGGCTTCCCGATTAGCAGGGAAGCTGTCTGCATGCTTCCTCGTCACCAGGTGACGAAGAAGCATGGAGCCAGCTTTCTGGTTAATCAGGAAGCCGGGAGGTGGGTAATTACTCGCCGCCTGGCTTTCTGATTGGCCAGCTTCTCATCCAATTAGGAAACCAGGCGGTGAGTCATTACACAGCACCCGGCTTCCTGATTGGCCAGGAAGCCGGCTCCATGCTCCCTCGTCACCAGGTGACGAAGGAGCATGAAGCCGGCTTTCTGGCCAATCAGGAAGCTGGAGGGCGGGTAATGACTCGCCATCCAGCTTCCTCATTGGCCATCTTCCTGACCAATCAGGAAGCCAGGCAGTGAGTCATTACATGCTGCCCGTCTTCCTGATTGGCCAGGGAGCCGGCTCCATGCTACCTTATCAGGTGACTAGGGAGCATGGAGCCGGCTTCCCGGCTAATCAGGAAGCTGGGCAGCGTTATTAACTCGCTGCCCGGCTTCCTGATACCGGAAGTTCGAGTGTCGGGCTAGGCATCGGAGCATTTGGGCGAGGACGAGCCCAAATACTCTGTATCGGTGCATCCCTAGTTGGTATAGTGTTCCTGTCAAATGAGAATTAGATTCTGTACATGGTTCTTGCTAATCCTGTTTTTTGTTACAGTTGCGGGATAATCTTATCACTCCAAGAGACACAACAATGACTTTCACATGCTTTGTCTTCTTTGACATGTTCAATGCTTTAAGCTCAAGGTCACAGGTGAGAGACATTGCTGAACTGTTTGTATTTAGGCTGCAAATTCAGTTTATTTCACTATTTTGACATACATCTGAGTTTAAAGTATATTTATGTATGTAGAGCCCAAACTTTTTTTTTGTAAGTAGGGAAGAATTAGAAGCGGTCTCCTGTATTTATTGCTGTCTTTTATACCGCAAGGCAAATTGCCCCTCTTTACTTGTCCTTGTGACTAACTTCAGATAGGGACACATTTTTCTGATTACTACTGTTAAGAAGGTAGTTTTTGCTATACATGCCTTCAAACACTTTTTGTTAAAACACAACACTAATGCAACTGCACAAGAATGAACATTATGGACTCGTATAGCAGCAGAATTGCTCATGTCTGTAAACAGTGAGTAGTAAAACAGTTAGTGTATGTTACTGAAACACAAAGTTTAAATATCTGTGTTGGGTTATTCAGGTCTTGGTATTTCATTTGGTGCTGATAAATACCTAGTGACCCTATCGGTTCTCCTTGGTTCCTGTAGCAAAGTGACCACGCCAAGCACGGAAGCAGATCTAAGCTGGCATGGTCAGTTTGCATCCCTGGGATTGCTGCTAGAATATAGGACGCCATGCCTGCATCTTCTGTTGTCAGTTAAGGTGCCAAGTCCCCCCCCCTTCCCAGCCCTGTGGTGTTGATTGACAATGCCTTTCAGCAGGAGTGTCACTGTCACAGCTGCAGCATGTAGATATTCCACCGCACACCTGAACATTGTATCCATTATTAGTCCAGTGCTGAAGTAACTGCGGATGGCTCCCCAAGTATCCAAGAGAGAAAGTATGTTACCAGCACATGAAGGGTCTTCATCCAAACAGGTCTTTATTGACATCTAAACATATTGACAAACGGGTATCAACGTTTCGGGGCCACGCAGGGTGCCTTCATCAGTTATACTATGCCTGATGAAGGGACCATGCATGGCCCTTAAACGTCCATCTGTTTGACAGTTTGTTTGGACCTAAAAAAAAGACGTGTTTGGATGAAGATCCTTGGCGTGCTGATAACATACTTTCTCTCTATCAAAACTGCAGAGCGCACAGCCCGGGAACATGAACTCTATGCTCACCTGCCTGACCTTTTATAAACATCCCTTTTAAAACGCTGTTTAGGTCGCTGTGTTTTTGCTGCAGTGGCCAAAAAATACTGAGGCTTGAGCTGCAGTGGAAATGGATTGCTTTAAAGATGAAGAAATCTTTTGGTATACACTACAAATCTGTTACAGGTTATTACACAGTTGTAAGATGACTTTCTTGGAGGGTACACACAGTGGAAACATACTGTACCTGAAAATCTCCAACCGGCTCATAATCTATGGATCTTAGCTGTGAGCTGTTGTCTTGTAGTCATTGAGTAGGCTTGGGAATGAGGTGCTTGGCTTGCAATCTAAAAGTGCAGTTTATTTGTGCTAATGTTCTTTCTGTCTTCCACAGACAAAATCTGTCTTTGAGATTGGCCTGTGCAGTAATAAGATGTTCTGTTTTGCGGTCCTTGGTTCTATCATGGGTCAGTTACTCGTCATCTATTTCCCACCTCTACAGAAGGTTTTCCAGACTGAAAGTCTCAGCATCCAAGGTATTGGAAGAGGGTTTTATCTGTTACTATTGGATCTGCCTTGGGAATTAAATACTGAAAAAAAATGATCCTTGAAGCTGACCTCCAGGCAAACAGCTGAGTACATATATGAAAGCTGTTTTACTTCCAAAGGATTTGTATTTCTGTCAGTTCAGTCCTGAGATTGCACTGAGACTGTAACATCCGTCTGATTGCACAGCAGCAGACTGATAAGCTTGTCTCTGTCACTCTGCTCTTTCTATTAGAATGACTCTTGTTAGCACATGACTGACTGTCTCCGTATGCTGCTTCTGCTGTATGGGGAGTGTAAGAGGCAAATAGCAGTTCCAATTCAGATACTTACACTATTTGCATCTATAGAAATCCATTTAATGATATGATACAGAGCTGCATTCATTTGTGTCTTTCCTATGCCTGGAGTTCACTTTTTTAATAGTTTTTTTTTTTTTTACATTATATACACCTGCACACGCACGTGCTTTATAGAAGTTGGCGCTACATACTTCTCTAGATAGGCAGAGCCAGCTGTCACTCACGCACCTGGGTGGATCCAGACATAATTGTCGGGATCCGTTCTGGCTGCGCCGTCTCAGTATACCGTGAAAAAAATTGCCATTTGATATACTTTTTTGATATACTTTTAAGTTAAAGTTGAACTGAAGCCAAAACTTTTTGTTTCCAGTTTTTTATAGAATAATAGTGGGTCATAACCCCTGTTAGCTTTTTTTTTTTTTGAGATCTGTGCCCCATTGGAGAGATTATCTACACAACAGGAAGTGAGAGGAAATCCCTCCAGAAAGAGGAACATATCCCTGGTGGTCACCAGAACTAGTGTCCCCATTGGAAGATTTTTCTTCACTTCTTTTCCGATGGCCCCCACAGAAAGCGAGAGGAAATCCCTGAAAAAGAGAGGGAAATCTCAGGTAGTCGCCAGAACTAGTGTCCTCATCGGAACATTTCTTTTTACTTCTGGTCAGATAGCCACAACAAAAAGTGAGGAAATCCCTGAAAAGAGGGAAATCCCTAGTGGTCACCAGAACTAGCGTCCCCATTGGAAGATTTCTCTTCGGTTCTTGTCCGATGACCACCACGGAAAGTGAGGGAGATATCTCCAAAAAGAGAGGAAAATCCCTGGTGGTCCCTGAAAATAGTGTCCCCATTGGAGGGTTTGCCATCTATTCCTGATGACAACCTAAAATGTTGGGTTTTCTTTCAATGATAACGGTCACCAGGACAAATAGAGCGGGTGATTCTCCCTAATGGGGGAAACCTTTTCACTCTATCCAAAACTAAGCCAAAAAGTTTGGCCTTCAGTTGCTCTCTTTGTTGTGGCTATCTGACCAGAAGTGAAAAGAAATGTTCCAATGAGGACACTAGTTCTGGCGACTACCTGAGATTTCCCTCTCTTTTTCAGGGATTTCCTCTCGCTTTCTGTGGGGGCCATCGGAAAAGAAGTGACGAAAAATCAGGACACTAGTAATGCTACTACTCTGAAAATGCTTCTGTCACTATGTGGTTATTTAGCGATTGTTTAAGCAATATCGTATCTCTTTGTTCTACATTTCAGACCTGCTGTTCTTAATAGGACTGACGTCTTCTGTATGGATCGTGTCGGAAATCATTAAAAAAGTTGAGCGGAGTCAAGAGGGGGTGCAGAAGCGCAAGGGATCACCAGCCTCTTTTTTTCTCGATGTATGATGCATATTGCATTCTCGATTTGTAACTACATATGGGGACATAGTGCTTCAATTCCAGAGTACTACAATGGCTTGCAAGATGGGAAACCTGCTGCAGCTCCTTGCATAGTCCTCCCAGCCCACAGAAATGGACTTGTACAGAACAACAAGCGACAGGTGTGATTTGCAGGAACCAATGGTTATGGAACCATACAAGTATTGCAAGGACTTGTGTTGTTTTGCAGAGATGACCGATAAAGAAGGAACAATTATTCTGTGGTGTATGCCTTCTCTCTCTTCACCAAAACTTAGGTTTGAGGGGTTTTGTACAGTCAAACCGCTTACGTATGTAGTCAGATATTTTTTTTTTATACATGTATATGTACATAATGATAAAACTATATTCCACTTTATGGGGTTTTATTACTAAAAGAAAATGTTTTCTAATGTCTTTGAAGCAGTTTTACTGAAATGCACACCATGTGCCATGTTTCCTTTTGACCATATTATTATCATTCTCTATTTATTTTGGACATCACAGTTTCAGCTTAGGCTCCGTTCACATTGAGCGATTTTATCGCACGGTAATTCCCGCGATATCGCGGCAATTTACCGCGCGATATCGCTCTCCAATGCTTCTCAATGGGGCAAAGGGTCCTGCTTCGCGGGTCGTGTGTCGCTACAGCAGGACCCTTTTTGGAGCGGATTTAGCCGCGATTCAAGCTTGCTCAATGCAAGCATTTGCGCGATATCGCGCAAAATGCAAATCGCGAGACAAACCCGCAATTTGTGAATCGCCTCAGTGTGAATGGGGCCTGAGTGTATATGTCTCCTGAGGGGACTATATGTACAGGTTCCTACTGCTGGAGAGTCCATTTTGCTTTGCGTGTTTTCAGTACTCTAACATGAAAGGGCACCTTCACTTTAAACTGTAAAGCAGGATGAACAAATTAGCTTGTGGTTTTTTTTTTGCTGAAGAAATGCAAATTAATACATTATGCTATTTATTGGCTTTCAAACATTTTCAGTAACTTGGCTAATTTAAGGTGATGTATTGACTATTTCATACTTGATATCTGGCCACATTGCCAGAAAGAGGGTAGTAAGAGAAGTGGGAGAAGATGTAAGTATAGTGTAAACCCCTACACACACCTCTGTGTTCCTTTTACCACTATCTGCTTGTAGGATCAGGGTTGTCCACTTCTGGGACTGCTGTAGCATCTTCCTTTTGTGTGTGTTCTTCATCCCCTGATCTGCTACTGGTAAGTTAAGAAGCAGCCATTTCTGGGGGCCGTGGTCCACTGCATCCACACCCCACTTGCTGGAGGTTTTCGCGTATACCTTTTATAGGGGCTGACGTATGGTGAAGGAAAGCTGTGGGTTACAGAAGTTGTATGAGTTGGGACTTTTAAGTTAAGGATATGATTAAAGGTTACTCACTGCACTTGCCTTTCATCTTCATTATTCACTCATGTATGTGTCATTAAAGCAGGGATATCCAAACTGCGGCCCTCCAGCTGTGGTGGAACTACGAATCCCATGAGGCTTTGCAAGATTCTCCCAGCCACACACATGACTCCCGGAGAGAGATGCTTCATGGGATTTGTAGTTCCACCACAGCTGGAGGGCCGCAGTTTGGACATCCCTGCATTAAAGCAAACACAATCTGCTGGAGCAGGAACCTTGTGATGCCTTGTAGCACCAGTGTTAATATTCAGATTGAGCTGTGTCCCTGAAGAGCACTTTGGATCCCAAGTCTACACGGTACTTGGGCCTTTGACTTCTGCCCAAATAAAGATTAAACCTTACTTCCTCCTGCCACTATCCCCACCTCCTGTCATTCAGCTATCAATAGGCAGAGCTTCTATAAGCTACTGATGTTCTAGCATTTGACAGTTAAATGACCAGCAGTGGGGTTTCGTTTCAGTTGGGATATAACTTAATCTCAACTTGGGCAAAAGCTGAGCACCCATATCTGGGCCAAGGATCCATTGTGCCCCGCAAGGACAAAGGTACTTCCAGGCATAACAAAGAGCCTGCATTTCAGCACTGTTGTTACCGCTAGGAACATTTTACTACCTTTCAGTAGCATTTACATTTTTAAAGCTGAACTCCAGCTTTAAAAACGTATATACACTTACACAATTGGTCCCTGGCAGGGCCACAGGGATTGTGTAGTAGCTGTAGCTACCACAGTGTATATTACAGCATCTTCGAGGTCCAGGAACAGATCAGGAATGTCACTGGCCCTCGGTCAATCAGAGCATGGCAAGTATTCATTGAGGAAAATACTAGGCAGTCTCTGAATGGCGGCCATGCTGAGCAAGCGGCCCGCTGTGTTTAACAGCTCAGAGGAAGCCGCTCAGCACATCGGCTGTTCCTGGACCCCGTAGAATGCTGTATTACACTGTAGTCGTTTCTGTTATTACAGTCTATCTCACAATCCCAGTGGCCCTGCCAGGCATCATTTATATATACTTACATTGTGCCAAGCTGTAGCCAATGTTAGTATATATACTTTATTAAAGCTGGAGTTCAGCTTTAAATTGTCAACAGAGTAGAATGTTTGAAATCCAAACCAAGTAGTTCCATAGCAACTTCTTTGTTCTATATCTCTCAGTTGGCTATAGGATCACACGGTTTGTAGTTCAGACTGGTGTGGCCACTTCCACCTGAGTACAGCTTAACAATTCAATATCTGCTAGATTTGTTTCTAGGAAGTGTGTTTAATTTTCTAAAGCACAAATGCACACTTTTTACTATTATGTGCTGTGTATAAACACCAATAACAGAACAGAATAGCTTATTTATTTTAAAAGATAGTAGTTCTTGTAAGGTTTGGGTTTTGTCTTTCCATGGATTTCATGAGTCATCTAAACATTGGTTATAGACCCCTACATTCATCAGGCGGTGTTTCTTACATTCCTCCAGAGCAGAACATGTTTTCTAGTGGAATCACAGTTGAACATATTGGATGCATGGAGTTGATGGGGCATGTCAGACAGATGTAGCCTATCCCTTGATATTGCAGTCTCTATGGTGAAATGAGCTGTTTATTGTAAGCTGCAGTGTACGTTGACCTACATTGCTAAAAGGACACCATTTTGGCTCAAATCAGTGTGCTGCTGATGAGATGTCTGCCAATAAATAGTATATATCTCAGTAGTAACGAGCTTTAATCACCGGTGTAGCCTGAGCCTTAGTGTCCATTGCAGTGCTGAGCTGTGCTGCAAACTAATGGCAGACCTATAACCAATCTATAGTAATGTAGGCTGATGTACAGGTCCCTGGTAATGACCTGTATCTCTCTAACAAACGTTATCTTTGAGGCAGAATTATGCGGGTGATTTCAATGTAATGTTCCTCATAGATTTAAATTGTAAATATCAAAGTGTCAAGCCAAAAAAAAAGGTTTTCTCTTCTGTTGGTTGAAGGACACAGCCATAATAATAACTTGGCGAATACAGTTATGTCACCACCTGCAGGAGTAGGACGTCAAGTTATTATGATGGCTGTGTCCTTCAATGAACAGAAAAGCATTGTACAGTGAGTGAGGATTGCAAGTTTGGTGTATCCTGCTGTCTGTGACTCGGAGAGACTTACCTTCACTTCCTGTCCTGACAACAGTTTCACCAGTCAGGAAGTGAGGGACACAGATGGGGCCTGAATTCTGTGGAGAACAATATCCTGGCATTTTCTTTTATTAAATAAAATGGAGTTGGTCTTTAAAATTGATGCAGTTTAGCCCTTAATGAGCCATTTTATTTTTTAATTTTAAAGAGATTAAGCAATAGCAGGGGTAGGCAAACTCCAGCCCTGCAGCTGTGGTGAAACTACAAATCCAATAATTTATCTGCCTCAGCCTGTAGCTGTCAGTCTTGCAATGCCTAATGGTATTCCACAGCAGCTAGAGGGCTGGTATTCGCCTACCCTTGGTCTAACGCATAGCAATGCTTCCACATTGCTTCTGGAAAAATATGTAAGGGTTGTCCAGCAAGGACCACAGTTGAGGAACACTGCCAGGGAGAGCAGTTCCCAGCATTGAAGTATGTGCACTTTGCACATAGGCGATGTTAAATGGAGGTGGCCTAGGATGAAGGCAAGTACAGTGAATAATCATGAGTGCCGCACTTTTTCTTTATTCCGTCTCCTGCTTTCCTTCATTTCACTGGTACTAATGCTACCTGCATCTAATACTGAGAATTCAAGCAGCAGCAAAGGATTTTAAATTCTACGAAGTGAACTACTTTAGCTGCCGGTCACGGCCTGAAAAATAAACGAGCAGGCTTTAAAAGAATAGTAAGTCTCATCTGTCTGGTGGGTGACGACTCCAATGTTTGCTCTCTTACAGAACTACCACCAATGTAGGTTTCCAATACTTTTGATCCCCCTCTGTGCACTGTGGTTCCCCCTGCCAACCACAGGACATGGTGGTGACATGGAAGGGGGGGGGGGCTGCCAGGTGGAACCACAGCACACAGACGGGGGACCAGGAATCAGACACTCCTGAAAGTGTTGGATACCAGTGCCAACTATTGTATGTGTCCCATCGCACTGCTGACCGGTAGATCTCAAGGTTCGTGATGGGCGCTGCAGTGGCAAGCGGATGGCACTGCAAATCACAAGCAGATGTGATAGAACGTCTTCCTTTATTGACACAAGTCAATCATATCACAAAGCAAATGATTTTCCGGGTCGCATAGGGTCCCTTCATCAGATAGGGTCCCTTCATCAGACAAAACAATTGCTTATCTGATGAAGGGACCCTATGTGGCCCTGAAATGTTGGGAGTTGCCCCCCCCACCATCCAGACACATAAGTATTATTCTTAATTTTTTTATTTAACAGGCTGCAGCTAAAATAATAATGTGTGTTCGTTTCTGTTTTTTTTTTTTAGCTAGCAACAGGCCAGGGTCACTTTATTGTTTTACTGATACACTGTAATATTGTTTTAAGGTATTTGTCATTTCTTCATGAATGATTTTTCCTGACGGGTTTCCAAGGCTTATTGTATCATATTGCAGCTACCGTGTGCTATGTACCTGTCAATCATACTGTACATCTTTTGAGTAATGTCTATAAAATTTAAATCTAAGAAATCACAAATCGTTCTTTGTTACAATACATTCATCCAAAACCATATTTTTATGAGACGTGCATAGTCTGTGTGTTCCATTTATTACGGTTTTCTACGTAGTTTTTATTATATTACAGTTACAGGTGAATGACAAAGGAAAACTTTAGAGAAATACATTGGTTTCATGGAAACGTGTGATGCAGATCTTGCGAGAAGATATCTGTAAAAAAGAAGTCGAGGCAACTGGACTTGCTGTATTTTTCTTGAAGACGTTTCACTGGCCATCCAACCAGCTTTCTCAATTCAGAATGACTTGTACAAAAAATTATCTGGGAATAAATATGGTGAATGTTGCTCCAATCCACATAATCTGTTATCCGCAACTAGGTGTTGATTGCATTTGCATAATTGGAGCTATTAACATGTCCAGAGAGAGGTGTTGAAACAGCATTGTATGTGGCAGACAATA